TTTGAAAAACATAGTTCTTACTGTGATTGGAATGATCGCTATCCAGAAATAAAGATTTGATCCTACATTATCATGACCAAATAAGCTCTTGAAATACACAAAATTATAGTAGAAATCAATTGTAGTATAAAACTACTCCCTACTAAATATTTTCTTAAACAAAACAGCACCATGCATGGCCATTTATGAATTTAGATTCTCTAACGCAAAAAGAAAGAAAGAACAAAGTACTTTGCATGCAGTAGGAGTTTGTTTCCAGTGCACAATACATACCTTTTATGTTAAAAAGCATGAACGCAACTACAAAACCCCAAAGTGGCCCACTGCAAGAGATCATCAAAAAAAGATAATCATTCGGTCAAAATAAGACATCCTTTACCCTCTACTCTACATGATTTTTGACTACATATGTGACATGTAAGCAAGTTAATATTAGAAATTAAGGACAGAGAAATAATAAATTCTACAAGTCAATTACTATATATAAAGTTAAGAAAAAATATGTACCACATTAGTTTTCTAAGAAAAAGTGCAGCTCACCTCACACCAACAATCTTTTGGAACTCTTCTTCCATAGAGCGGATCATATAGCTATGAAAATCGTATCTCAATGTTAGGTGATGGTTCTGTTTAAAGGGAAATAAAAATGATTAACTAGAAATAGTACTTCAAGAGTCAGAAGAGCAAGTAGCATTAGTCTGGGATAAACTTACGGAAGCCCACGAGTGCCACAAAAGCTATATAATAACATAACATACATACATTTTTTCGTAGATACTGTATGAATGGGAAATAAAACCTCGAGTTATGTTTACCAAAAAAAAAAAAAAACCCACGAGTTATACATCATCAAGGTGGAAGAAAAATCGATGGTATGAAAAAGATTGGCATACTTATAGCATCACACCCAAACATTGCATTTTTTGTAGGATTGTTTTCTTTCAAATCTTATTGGTTATTAACTGTTTTTTTTATAGTGTCATGTTTTAGGCCATTAGAAAATACGATGAGTGGGTTATTCAATGGCTACACTCATCCTGGGAAATTAATCGGGTGGTAAAAATTCGGGCATCCCGGTTATCCAAAAAAAAAACTGTGTTCTTTTTAGATAATTAGGTTACTAAGAAGAAAAAATAATGATATCGTCAAGACTCTTTCTATCATTCTTTTAAGATGACATAAGAGTGTCACGCACCACGATGAATCCTTTGCGAAGTGTAAGATAGTCAGAACGAACAACGGAGTGTCCAAATTGTCGGAAGAAGCATATCTGTAAGAATAACCTTTAATAGCTTAGCAATTGGAAAACACAAAAATTTGAGTTCAGCATATAAAATTAATTATGTATGAGATATCATCTTTAGGCTAGTATTTATTTTATTTTTTTATAAACCGTGGAAGTTTCGAACTTTTGGCTCATAATGTTTTCGGTACCCGGAGACAGTATTTGAATATTCCGATTTAAAAGATAACTCTCCGTTCCAAAGGGATTTTGAACCCGGAGCACAAGAGAACCAATCCCCTTGTGTTACCACTAGGCTAGTTTCAATCATTAAATATAAAAAAATATTTATGTAAAACATATTTAACTTTCTTAAGGAAGTAAAATCCTACCACCCATATAAGTACGCTATTCTTTACTAGAGGAGCAGATGTATGACATTGGACAAATGTTGTTTGCCTCCGGAATATTTTTTCGCGAGCGACCACTGCCAAACACAAAATAATTCTAAGAAAATCAAAACCTTAGATCACAATGTTAAGCGTCCGTATATGTGAACAAGTGACAATTCATTATTGCTCTATATTTTACTGTACATATAGAATCTGACCAGTTAAGCAATCATTTTGATCCATCTGAGCCTCGTCTTCCCATATCCTCCAACTATGTATCTGGACAAAAAGATGTTCAAATTGAACTTTAACTGATATAGGAATATGTGCACTATCAAATGGAATATATATCAAAAGAATCTGGAAGTATATGAGGAGAAGCAAGAAACTCGTAAATTCTATACATGAAATCTTAAGTAGGAAAAAATAACAAATGTCTGATAGTACTACCTTCACGATTGCAAGGAGCATTGTCAAGCAGCTGTAAATTACATGTGTGACTGCCATTATAAATATGAAGCGATGCAACTGTTCCATGCCTTCATATGAAACAAATGGTTCATGCCCCTGTTAAATAGATCGATAATATTATGTGACTTTTAACTTTAAGAAAGAAGTTTTGTTTATTTTTGTATCACTTATGATGGACGTTATCAGAAAATGAGATGAGTAGAGAACCTCGCTGCAAGTATTTTCACTTATGCCAACCAATCTTCTCCTCAAGATGTGGAAATAGAGAGATCTCGACAACCCATTTCGTTTGACAGATGAAATAGTACTGTCAAGTTCTTCATTAATCTCATACCGGGTGCATGGGACAAATCTATTGTCGTAGAAACTGGAAGAAACGCATATGTTAGCTATTGTGCTAGAGATAGCTGTAAGAAGAAGTGATATGAATCCGAGCAGCATCAGCTCTG